TTTATGTTAATTAAATGACATTTTTTGAAAACTTAAGCAAATTCATATGAACAAATAAATTGACAAATCAAAATTATGTCATTGACAAGTCACTATGTCACCATTAACAAGTGAAAGTGCCATTAATGACAAGAGATTTCATAATTTTATTAGTGATAATTGAATTTTAATAACGAGTCTATATGACCTCATAACAAAAATGTATTAGTTTAGAAGAATTTTTGGTATTATATGATGTTGTTTAGTATTATATAAATTAAAATTGCAATTTTTTTAACTTATATGAGCATATAAATTGACAACTAATAGTGCAATATACATCAAAATATAATATATAGCCAGCTTTCATCCACAACTTCATATAAATATAATTACATCAATTTCACAACTCATTGAAAATAAAACATAGAATTACATGTATCCAATATCAAATGAACTATTTGTGAATATCATGACATTTACAAAAAAAATTCATGTCATCACTTCTATCTACAACAAAAATTCTTTTGCCATTGTTTGTTAGGTTCAAAATGGCCTTTCTTTTTGCCCATGTTCTTTTCTGCTTCATGTGATTGCTCACCCTTTTTCATTACATTTTCTTCCTCCTTTTGTAACCTCTACCAATGAGTTAAGGGCAGAAAAGCTCATGATTGTTGTGTCAAAAGCGTGACAAAACTAATAAATATACACCTGCACGACGCAATGATCATTGATAAGTCAAAGAGCTATATTGACAACTATCGTGGCCCATATTGACAACATATTCTCCTATTTCATAGTAAGGGTTTTACCCACATCAAACTTTATCTTCTTCATCAATTCCTGTTGAATCTTGATGAAACAGAGCAAGATCATACTCAATCCATCCACAATACACTCAGAAATAGAGTATTCATTATCACCTTACCTGCTCATAATAAAACCCTAACTTAGATGACCAACATATATCAAAAAAAAAAACACAAGCAATTTTACCAATGGTTGACATTAGTGGAGGGGACAAGATTTTCTGATAGGGGTAAGGAAGAAACATGATGAAGTTTGGGTATTTTTTCCTCTTGCCTTCTACAAACAAGGTGTAGATTTTCAGGTTGAAACAGAGCAAATTTGCAACAGCTTTGGGTGCTTCTTACAAGGGTAGAGAAGTCTTTTCACCCTTCATTAAATTGCACTCAGGTCCCTTTGGGACTTCAGATTTATTACTAGATTTTCAGGATTTTTTTGTAGTATTTTATGTTCCATGGACCCTCATGTCATTTTCCTTAAAAAACTTGATTTGAAATACTACCTTTTATTATTTATCAGATTTATTAATCAAAGATAAATTTTGTATAAAAAAATTAATCAAAGATAAACAATTATTATAATTTCACCAACTAAATTATTAGAACTTTCAGAGTTATACTTCTTGGAGAGGAAAGATGCTACCAAAAGGACTCTTGGCCATTTGTTTGTGCCCTGTACATTATTAGTAGTTTAGTCCAGCGCTCCAGCCAACTGAGCTAATCGGCCAATTGTTAATAATCAATTTTAATATTTAGAGAATAATTAATTACGTGTCTACTTATCATTTATTAAATTTATGAGTTTATGATGATGAAGTTATTATATGAAGAAATAAACTTTGTTAATTTGAATGAGGCCCTACTGAACAAAACTTTGTTTAATTTTTGAAGTTGATTACTGAACACACTCCTATTTTTTTATGTTTTTTCTAATCTCGTCCTCTTTTTTCATTTCACGGGCTCTCTCCGCTCTCTCTTCTGTCGTCCTCTCCTTGTGATTGGTTGTGCAGGAAAAGAAAATCATCAAAGAAAAAACACTCAGCAAAAGAAAAATTTCACATCTTTTTTTTTTAAAAAAAGTACATATGAGATATGTCATAACATGAAAATCATTCTTATTTGTAAACAATTCTGTGTAAAATTAAACTCATTCTACGCATCAATGAGTTTGGGTGCAGCATCCTGATAAATTTTTTAACAATGTAGCATTTCGATAATAATTTTTACTGTGTATAGCAGATTGTCAAAAAGCCCTTGTTGTAACATTGTGCTTTCATATTTTTATTATAATGTGAAAGCAAAAGACGGAAACAAGAAACTGAAGGTTGATGGGGGTGATTCGGTGAGGGGAAATTGGAAACCGCCAGATTGTGGATGGGTAAAGTTAACACAGATGGGGCAAGCCGAGGTGACCCAGGGTGTGCGGGGTGGGGCAAGCCGAGGTGACCCAGGGTGTGCGGGGTGTGGAGGTGTGCTCCGTAGTTGTAGGGGAACTGGATAGTAGGATTTGGAAAGGATGTAGTGTGGTGTACAGCTTATGAGGCTGAATGTTGGGGAGCTTTAATGGCTTGCAGCTGGCAAAGGAAAAGGGGTTCTGTAAAATTCATCTAGAGATTGATTTGAGCTACTATTCGAAGCTTTGAAGGCAAAGGAAAAGGAAGGTGATTTCGTGATCCGCACACGAGAATGGTGAGGTAGATGGTAGATCAGTGTAGATATGTTCGACTTTCGCTGGTGCAGAGACAAGGAAACCAGTGTGCTGATGTACTGGAAAAAGAAGCATTAGTTCAGGGGGAGAGAGAGGCGACACCTTTTGAAGATATGCCTAGAGAAGTGGCTAAAGCTTTGAGTTCGATAGACACGCGTGGAGAGTGCTGGCTAAGGCTTTTGTTGCTTTTTTACTTTTCTTTGTTTGTCATTTCTGTTTTGGGCTTTAGCCCCTTTCTCTACCCAAAAAAAAAGAAGAAGAAAATGTAAGATTGGAATTGAGATTGCAATTGAAAAAAATCATTAAAATAATATTTAGCATGAGTAGTTACTTATTATAGGGGATTAGGCAAACCCATAGAGGTATGATTGGGGAATATCACTTCTCCCCATGTATTCTCTAATCCCACAATGGTATTCTCTAATCCAATATACATGGGTTTGGAGATTTCTATATAACAAACAATCTCTTACACTAAACACTCTTTTAATAGATTTTCTCAATGGCAATCCCAATCCCATCCCAGTTTCTGATTTTTAAACTTCCTACCAAATGTAACCTATGAGTTCAGCCTCTAGATCAATAGGTAAAAAGAAAACTTGATTTGAAATATTTTTATCATTTATCACATTTATTAATCAAATTTGAATAATTATTACTCTTCGATCCTAAATATAAGACCCTTATACACACTAGTATAAGAATCTTATATTTAGAATCGGAGGAGTATAATTTTACCTATTAAACTGTTAGAAACTTTTAAATTTATGCTTATTAGAGGAGAAAAATGCTATAGGAGGAGAGAAGATAGCCATTAATAATAGGTCAATTATTAATAATGAATTTTGATATTTAGAATTTTTTGTCATTAATAATATTCTTATTTATTATTTATGAAATTTGTGAATCGAAGATGAGTCTATCATTATTTCGTCCTAATAAATTCTAAAAAATTCAAATTCAGGATTAGATTTGTCATCAATTGCTTTATTTGAAAAAATGAAAATATACCAACTTATTAAAATGATATATTTGTTTAACAAAATGGTCATGGAAGTCTCAACCTACTTCCGCTTTGTATGATATCCTAATTAACTAAGCTAATAGGCTAAAAGATTATTAATTAATTTTGAGATTTGAGTTTGTGAGCCATCAATAAGTGCTTATTTATATTTGTTACAATTTATGAATTGAATATTGTTTATGTTAACAATGTAATTATGCAGGGCAAACGTGCAACTTTTGCATTAACAGTGTGATCTCTAAACAATTGAGGTAAGAGGCTAATTATTAATGATTAATTTTAAGATTTAGAATTTGTATAACACTAATAATGTGTTTATTGCTGAATGAAGAGAAGTAAATGAAGTAGATGAAATGGCGATGGAAGGTGTGATTAGAAAGAGGAAACAATCCTATGCATGATTATAGTTGGAAATAATTCACTCTTTGGCTTTTCAATAGTGAATCTTATCGTCTGATAATGAAGTTCTACATGAATGGGTAGGTAGGGTGATACTTTCCCAACAGAGTCATTAAATCAAATACAATAATATGATTAGCATATAATTTAATGTACTTCTACCATTTATTTTCATTTCCAGTAATCTAAACTGCAAAGTTGTTTATAATTTTTGTTAAGTGTAATAATTAACATTTTATTCTTAATAAATAATATGTTTAATCCATGAAATTTATGATGTGACCTAATTGATTAATGTGGGATTTAGGTCATTTAAATATTAAAATATGACATGTTTAATATTCTATCACTAACATATCCATCATAAAATCAAATTCAACATATACATGTGTGTGTGTATAAATATACATACATACATACATAAGGCCTATGATTTATGTGGGGCCCAAGGCAATAATGACCTTATTTGATGTTTGATACCTTCATTCCTCTGAAAGAAACATTTATGTTTTTCTCTATCCTCTTCTCCAGAGTACTTCACGCCTTCTTTAGCCGTTTATTCAACAAGCTCATGTGACAATAGTTTGAGGGCAAAAATGCCATTTAACTCATGACTAATCTATCCTGAATTATTATTGTTGTGATACGAAACGACGATCCAAATGATCCGCCTAAATTAACAAATACTTTTCTAGGATATAATCCTAGAAGAAGACAAATATGGCAAATAAATGGAAAGCAAGCACAAGGCTAGCATCTGAGAGGCTAGTATTGCCCCTTATTCATTGATTGCTTGAGGCAGTTACAACATTGGCCCCATTTAACAAAAATTTTAAATATATATATATATGATTCTATATGATTTACTCAAACTTCAAAAAATTGATAAAATTTATTTTTTTAATTTAAAAAAGAAAGAAAGAAAAAAGAAAACAGCTCACCCCACAAGGGGGATCTATATGCTCTGCCTCAGCAAAGTTTTCCTATCTAGCACAAAATTACATGCAGTGATAAGGCATTACATAATTCTGTCCAACAAAGAAAACTAACGAAATCATACAGTAATTTTAGAATGGAATTGGTTGTCTGCTTGGCCATGATTCTATCTTCTCAAAATACTTGGCTGGCACAACCCCATCAAAACCTTCTGTCAATATCACCTTGTTTTCAGAAATGTAAAGCTTCATACCTCTGAAATAAAGATCAAAACAAAAAAGAAGCATTTAATAATCAATACTCAATAGTCTTGTATAGTATCTTGGAAACAAGGGGGAAAATAATAGAACTTGATCTCCTGTATAACACAGCTAAGGAAATGAGACAAGTCCATCATACCCTCCAAAGCTTTTCGAACATCTAGAAAGATCAAGACATTGACATCCCGCCTCATACCTGGAAGAGGAAAACAAGAGAGAGATTGGAATTCACATACACAGATAGATAAAGACCAGCCAGTCCAATTTTATCTGAGTCCCCAGTAAAATTCCAAAATTGTTAAGGACACAGCACTTCAGTTCTTGATAAGCAAAGGTCTCATGCAAGAATAGAGCAAAGGGTCTACGCATGCTGATCTTCCTAGATTATGCTTTGCATTTGTTGAAGAGATTGACAATTCATTTTTGAAGAGAGAGGGGCAAAAAAGCTCTGGACCTACCACTTAATTAATGGACCCTACTTGCTTATAAATTGAGTTCCATAAACATGACGTCGTTGACACTCTCAAATGCTTTAGGAACACAGAAGATCCAAACCCACAATTTTTAACAAATTAACTCACAAGCCATCAAAAGAAGATTTCCTATCCACATCCATCCAATTTCCAACAAAATGTCCCAAATCACCGAATGAGTTGGAAATATGTATAATATTGCACAATGAAGTATGCAAATGCAAAAGGTCAAGGCAAGTGATGGGATTTCTCAAATGAGCTCCACGTTCAGCCTAAAACTGATGGGCCACAATTCAAAAAATAAAGGCCAGCTTTCACACAGCACAAAACAAATACGGGGGAAAAAATTCTCAATGAAATAAATAAAGAAGAGATTTTCATGAAACATGGCATTACCACTTATTACTTCACCGTCTGTAGGTAGACCACATGAAAAGTGAACGTGCAATCTCTTCATGCGCTTCAGACCAGATTCTAAAATTGAATTCAAGTTTCTTCTGTAGGTCCCATGCACACAGACTGCATATAGTGGCAACATGCTAATTTGAAACAAAAAGTATGACAAATAAAAATTGGGAGCATGTGACATAAGATTAAAAAAACAAACAAACAAACAATTTACCAGGAATTTCTTCAGCTGAAAGGATTGGTTTCAATAAGCTTTCGGTCTCAACAGCCTGCAGATTAAATGTCATTAACCATAGTGTAGAACAAAGTAAATTAAATGAATTCTCAATCCAACAATCTGCCCAGAGAAATAAGTCAGTATTTAATAGAAAGAACACAATATGGGATACTAGCTCACATCGCATAGTTTGGGCTGCCTTATGGAAAACTTAAGTGGGTTAATTCCCCCACCACAATAACTTGCTTTTGATGGAGGTAAAAGGTTCCCCAGCTTGAGGGTTCATTAGTTGGTATTAGATCCAATGATTAGCAACAGGCTACTTTAAAAAGCATAAAAATAAAAATTCTAACCAACCAAGCAAATGTACGAAATGTTGCAGCCAAGACATTAGTTTTCTAAGATGCCGCAGTATAAAAATTAGCCATCACCTTCAACAAAATAATGCACGGGTCGACCTAAAATTGTGGTAACAATAGCCATGTCTGAAAGTTAGGCAGCCTGGGACAGGTTAACAGCTTATTCACAGCACTTGGACGTGACATTATTCTAAAGCTTATAATGTTCTCCAAGGAAACTATAAGATTATACGGGCTTTAGATTTGGACCAAAAAAAAAAGGCTTGTTAATTGACCAAAGCGAGCTTTTCTGATAGGAGAGATTCATCTCCAAGTACTTGAGCTTTCATCGAAAATGCGCAGGTGAGGACAGGAAATCCATATTGTAATGCCTCGCTTGTGAATACATTTTCAAGTCACTAGAACTAAAATATGAAAAAATAAATACAAATTTATATTTTAGTTCTTGTGAAAAATAGAAATTACTGAAGAAGGCAGAGAAATGAATCCAATTACAAATGAAATCTTTTGCAGACAAATGGCCTAGGCACCACATCAGCACAAGGCTTAAAGAGAATTTACAATTGTACCATTCACAGTGATGCCACTTACAATAACTCAAAAAGAAAAGAAAAAAGAATCAAGATCTCCACAAACAATGATATCCGCAAAAGATAAAGGAATTCACAAGCAAAATTCTGTTTTATTGTATACCACTAAGTTGCAATTTACATTTAGATCAACATGAAAAATAGACAGAAGAAAATTAGACACCAAGTGTTACATTTACTTTTCCTGCAATGACATCTTAACAAGAATCTAACCAATGCAGTTCAAACAGAGAATTAGAATCATCACTATAAGACTTTGCTTGACTTTTTTTTAGTTCTAAGTATAAGACCCCAATCCACTTTTTCTCATAATTATGTATTTTTTCCCAAGATAGTCTATTGGAAATAGGCCTCTCTGAAAGCCCACTTCATCTCTACCCCAAATTGCTCCTCAAACGGCTAGCTAGGTTATTATCTTAATTAGTTTTTTCATTCTCCGAAATCTTAGGGATCACAGAATTATTCTGCTTTCCTCTATTTTATTTCCAGATTGTAATCCTATCATAATTAGGGATTATTCCCTGCGATCCAGTGTAATCTCCTTTCCCCTATATGTATCGTCCCTTTCAGTGAATAATACACACAATTTTCAGCACATATTGTTTCATAGTCCTTCTAATAATAGTACTTCTAGCCAATATATTTGATTAGCAAGGACATTTTAGGAAAGATAACACCTATTTATTACAAATAACTAACTTAACTTATTTTCTTAATTTCCTCAAATTAGTCAACTAGCTCTTATATTTAGGACCGGAAATAGTAAGATGCAAGATAGGATGATGTTCATGCAAAGAAATGCTTACCGTAATTGTGTGGCCTTGGTTAGCTCGTATTAACAGCTCCCCATTCTCTTCTATAAGGCTAAACCGCTGCTTGTTATCCCTTTGGACGGCCTAAGGATATCCATAAGATAATAAAGAATATATGTTTTTAAGGAAATTCACATGAAATAGACATTTACTAATAAAAATATACAAGCCATCAGCCATTAAATATAGGCAAAAAGAAATAGTAATAAATTTAAATAAAGAGATCAGAGAAAAGACCTGAGTAATAAACATCATAGGCACCATAGGCCAAAAAGCTATTAAGCCTACTCATTAAATGACTAGGCATAGTCTAACCTTATCCAGTATCCCCACTATCTAATGTTCTGTGGCGTTCCTCCTCAAGCCATAACAATATAAGTAATTGAGAGAATACATCAGAAAATTCTTAATTTGGAACCTGATTACTTCATTATATAAGAGATAGATGATGTCTTAGAGTCAACTTCAATGCACTAGGGTACGAATATCTTATGGATGACATTTGAGATAAAAGTCACAAATTAAAAAGTGAAAGAGACTGGTGATGTCCCAGAGATACAGCCAAAAACACACAAGTACCATGACAAGTTCCATAGTTGACTTGCGTCTTTACAACAATGGTCCTGATGGTTTTTATTAACTTTCTGATGGGGGAAATTAGGTTACTAGTTTGGATAGGAATGTTCATGCATAATAGTCGACCTTAGGCTCCTCAGTTCACCCAAAAACAGAGGAATAAAAGTAAATTGGGACAACACTGTACCCAAACCCAAAAAACTTTTAGTTTTTCCAACTGTCCTAATTTTGTTTCCTCACTGTATTTCAAATATGAATTCCACACCATAATTAAGAGTACAAATGACAGAACAAGACTTGAATTCTAATCCTGGAATGCATTTCAGTAAATGCACCCACAAATTTGACTTCCAAGCAAATGGCAGCAAGTAATGACAATAAAGATACAGGAACTCAAGAAGAAAAGAATAAACTAACCTCCCTAATTTCATCGATAGTATGCAATTTTAATGGAATGTTGGCAAACGTCTTCATATTCAGCTTCAATAGATCATTAACCTTCACAAAACCATCGCTCCGCACATTCAAATTCAATCCAGATGCCATGTGACGTAAAATTCGTGTCCAAATTTCACAACGGCAGTTACTACCATTAGTGATTCCGCAGAATTTGGCGGTTAAGAACAAATAAAGTATACCATAGTCCGACAGAAATTTTTTTCAGTAATTAAAGGAGAAAAATTCATTTCACATTGCAAAATAAATAATGACTATCAATATACAATTTTGGCAGTTAAGAACAAAAGAAAATAGTTAGAATGACATGATCACAGGTCTAAAAGTGCTTACAAAAGCCTCCCAAGGGCGTCAATTTTATCTTTTCCAGAGCCACTTCCTCCCCCACCTCCACCGCCCCGACCTCTTGTTCTATCTCTTTCGTTTCTCATCTCGAAGGCCCTTCCCCTACCACCACTGCCAACAAAACAAAAATATTAGATTATATTCGACAAGCAATTTCAGAGACATTTCTAAGTAGTATTATATTCGAAAGTCTTCCTCAAGTTTCCCAGTAAAAAATTTCCCCAAAACAAACCTTTTTCTTTGGGCCTAACCCCGAAAATCAGCGCCAGGTAGAGAAAACCAAAAAATTAGTTTACATGGCCATTTCAAGTGCCGGACAAGATTTCGCAAAAGAAAGAATAAATTGAAGAAAGAGAACAACCTTGGACTAGCATGAGCGTGAGACAAGAATGAAGAGCTCTTGAAATTGGTGTTCTTATCGGCATGGTTCTCCATAGGAGCTAAGCCAGAGGAACTGAGAATAAGAGTCGGAGAAATGAAAGAGTCAAGTGGAATGAAAAAACCAGCGGTACCGTGAAATCAGAACGCGGGTGGAGAGGAGAGCCAACATGGAGATGAGCACAGTTGAACGCTGATCAGCCGAACAATAATAATAATTAAACATTAAACAATCTCATCGGCAAAAGGAATATGAAAATTTAAAATAGAATAAGGATTTACCCGTTGGCCCGGGCAAAAGCTAGATTAGCCGAACCATACATGCCGGGTACCACGGGCCAACCAGCCCGCTGGTAAAAGCTAGCCTGTCACAGCATGAAACTCAGGCCCCACATGATAGGTTAGTCGACCCACCATTTTTAAAAATTTGGATAAAAGGATATTCAGTATCCCAATTTTGTTTTTGTTTATTTAGTATCTTTTTTTTCATGTTTACTATGCAATTTTTTTTATGTACATTCAACAATGCCTCAAGTTATTTTTACTCGTGTTCCTAATAGAGGTGGGAATACATACTAGTCTTACAAGGCTAACAGTTTTAAAAGAGCCAACTTTGTAAGGCTAAAATATTAAAAATATCTCAATTTGTTAAGCCTGACTCTTAAACTAATGAGCTCAAAACCAGCTTGCAAACTTTCTGCTTGTTTAAGAAAAATTTTTTATCAAAAAATAAAAACAAACTAATAAAATTATTAATAAAAGATATAAATATGAATAAAATTAAGTCATAAAAATAAAATATCATCATATCAAAATATCTATCAACATCCTAGAGCACCTAAAACAGCAGTCAACAAGACAATAACATCTAAAAGTTTTATCAATAGTGTAAATGTTCAATAGGCAAATATTATCATTAATTTTTTAAAACTTCATCATCACTATCATCAATTGTTCTTCTTCATGAGTATGCTTTTCTTTCGTAGCAAAAATATCAAGTTTTTCTTCTTTATAGGAATTTCACTCTTAAATTTTGTAGTCCAACTATTATTTTGCTGTAGTTTGAGAAGTATTGGTTAAAACTCATAAATTTCTAATTCAAATTATAAAATCACATGTTATATAAGTATAAAAATACTCTCTTATCAAATATATATAGTTTAGAAATATCAACAATAACAAAAATCAAATCATTATTAAAGTCCAAATTCACCTATTTTTTAAAATTTAACTGGACAAATTATTTTCTAAAATCAAATAAATCAAACCATTTTTAATTTCAAAATGATAATAATAACTAAATATTTGAAATATCATTAAGAATGTAAAAAAATTAATAATATTAAAATTACACAAAAAAATTTAAAAAAAATATAAAAAGGCTTAAGCAGGTTAGCCCTCAACCTTGTAAGACTGGCCTTTTTAAGCCCTCAGCGCTACAAGACCATCCCTTTTAAGCTTGTTTCTTATTTAAAGGGAAAAATTATAAACCCGACCCTTATAATTTTCAGGCCTAAACGGGTTTGACCCGTTTTTTGGCTCTCATCCCTAGGCACCTTTATCCAATTTTTCCCCTTTTAGGTCATAATGAAGACCTTAGGGTCTGTTTGGCTCAATAAGAGAGAGGAAAGAGGAGGGGAGGGATTTTAAAGGAGGAAAGGGAAGGAGATGAGAGTGGAAGGATTTTAATATCACCTTATTTGGATTTATTAAAAGGGAGGGGAAGGGAAGAGTTTTAATATTACCTTGTTTGATTCATGAGGAGAGAGGAGGAAAAAATAACATGGACAATTTTACCCTTATTTTATTTAAGATATAGGCATAATGGTCATCACATGACAAAATATGGGCATAATGATCACAACATAGCAAAATATTGCCCTTTCCCTCCAAATCCTCCTAATTTTGGAGGGGAGGGAAATTTTTGAAAATTTTTCCTCTCCTCCTAAAATTTGTGTGTTGCTAGATAAAGGAAAATGATTAAAATCCTTCCCCCTCCTCTCCTCCTCTCCTCCCCTCCCCTTCAATCCCTCATACCAAGCACATCATTAATGACATGCCGAGGAGGGGAGGTGGCAAACAACCACTGATGATTTTAATAGGAAAAGAGAACAAAGAAAGCTCTTGGTGTTGAAAAGACTTGTCCTTTAGCCTCATGTGTGAAGAAAATTCTCCCAAATGATATGTACACAAATTTCTTTGAAAAAGGCATTGCTTACTAGTGAATTCATCAGTTAAAGGATCCAAATCAAGAGGACTATTGGAAAATTGGATTTTACATAATTTGTTGGAAGTTATGAGAAGCAACGAATTATCGTCTCTTTTTTTAATGAGAATTATACTATTAAAAATATTTTGATAAGCATTCATGCTAGTTAGGCATTCTTGAAATGTTTTTTCACTTTCAATTTAATCATATAAATCTTTTTGTTTGTCTGTCGCTTGACTCTTTATGGTTTATTTTGCAATGAAAATTATCCATTTCATTAAAAATTAAAAAACTCAAAAGCAAGGTGGCGGGAATAGCCACCTACCAAGCTAGACAAAATGAATTATTAAAAAAAATTAGTTATCAAGCCAAAATGAAATAAATAAGGGAGAATCTCAACAAAAATATTTTTAAATTTTAAATTTTAAATCAATTTTATTTATTATATTTTAATAGTAATTGATAATATTTGAAAAACAAATGATAACCTATTTTTATAATAATTCATAATTTGAAATTTTAAAATTTTAGAAATTCCCAATAAACAATGCTGATTTTTTATTTGGGTTAAAAATAAATAAGAGATAATTTCAACAAAAAAAGACCTTTGAATTTGAAAATTTTAAATCAACTTTATTTATTATATTTTAATAACAATTAACAAAAAGTAAATGACTATCATAAATAAAGAAGAAATATAGAAAAGAATCATACAGAAGAAGAGATGATCAATAAGAGAGAGTACTTCTCATTCCATTTAAGTATGCTCAATATATTATACATGGCCTCTATTTATAGGCACAGCTTTACACCTTCGATAGAATCTATATATTACATAATAATATGATATAATTGTGAGATATAGAGATAATGAGAAATATTAGAAATTATAGGAGATAATGAGAGATATATAGACATCCACAAAGATATTATTATATTCATAATACTCCCCCTTGGATGTCCAATATATATCAATGTGCCTTTAAAAAACTTCAACTAAAAAAAACCTTGTGGGACAAAAATTTAGCAAAAGAAAAAGAGTATATCATTCATTGATACACCATGCAATGTTATCTCATTAAAAACCTTGCTAGGAAAACGCAGTGGGACAAAACCATAGACAAGAAAAAAAATACAGCGTGTATCAACTCCCCTTTTTGGCAACATCAGTTGACATCTTCGAGCCTGCAAAGTCTAATATAACGAACAACCCTTTCAAATATTGTAATGAGATAAAAACGTCAAATATAAATCATAATCTTTTAAAAATCATGAGATAAATAGTCTTTTTATGGTTTACCCACACGTGGATTATACTATGATCTCTTGACATGATGGTCAAACAAGAATACTTTATCTATATAGTCATTAAGATTAGTCTTGGATACCTTCAAATAAAATAATATTACCTCCACGGTATCATTAAAGTTACGAATAATATTTTTAACTTCATTCTAACATCTTCATATTGATAAAGACCTATATCATACTAATTAGCAAATGATAGCTCAGATTCTGCATGGCTAGATAGATATATAAATGCTTCAATAACACTAAGATATGGTATTTTTGGACCAAGTGTTTATTCATTACCTTCTGGAGGTCTAAATTGATCTTTAGTCAATATCTAAAGATCTTGCAACTACCGAAAAATATAATGAATGTTGCTTATCCACATAATAGATGTGACTTATCCATATGCATTCTTCGAAAGCTTTCATTTCAAACTTTTTCTTTAAGTAATTTGTAGCTTTTAAAAACTCATCAAGAGTTTCGATTCTATCGTCATAAATAGTACTAATAACAAACTCATTTTGAATTTTTTCACAAATAGACAAGTTGGAATATGTTCACATCATTCTTTCAGTTGATATTAACCCTCATGTAAAGATTAATTGAATAATTTTCTTGAGAACATAATTGTATGCTTCTAAAAACTCAAATTCTTCAAGGATTTTCATACATTATGATCTAGATCTATTCATGTATTGGATCGTTTGAATTTATACAAGGATTTGAATCCTTCTAAGATTCACATATAATTTCACTATAAAGTGAATCATACGTTATAGTTATATATTTCTAAAACGTACATGAAGAAGAAACTTCATTTATTACTAGATTGCCAGATTAATAAGATATGTAATTTAATCCATCATAAGATTTTATTT